TCTTTCCCTGTCTCTCACTGTCTGTCTCTCTTTCCAACAAGCACAAATGACCTTAGAAATTTTTTTTAAAAAAATTACACGTTCACAATAGGAAACATACATGCATCATCAGTAAATATCTATAATCTTGGGACCAGGAGGTAGCATAATGATTACATTTTGGGCTCCTATATAGTTGACTGGTTCGAGTCCCATATCTGGCAGCTTAAAACTCAGGCAGGGCACGTGTGTGTGTGCTGAAAATTCTGAGAAGAGAATAGAGGAGAAGGGATTACAGAAGGCCATCCCCGTTAGGGGGTGATTTCTCACTTTCTGTTTCTCTGGCAAGTGCACACACCCTATAGCAAAAATCTCTCTAAATAAAAAGAAAAAAAATCAATTTATAATCTCATTCTTTCCCATCCCTAGACCACTATAAACATTTCAGTATGTTTCATATTTCCTGATCTTTTTTCATTTTCTTTTTTTCTTTTTCTTTTTTTTTTTTTATGCCAAAGGGAACATGCATGCAAGTGGGGGGTTGGGAGTGGGAAGCACGCCCCCCAGTGGGGCCTGGTCACACAGCAGTCCTTTTTCACATTCCTCTTTCCATCAAGATTCTAGCAAACTAGTTTAGCCAGCTTAGGAGCAGGACTCAAACCCTGGTCAGCCATGTGGGATCCAGTTATACTCCATTCTTTGTGTATGTCATTACCCTCAGGCCAATTTCAGGCTCCTGTCTTTCTATAACTCTTATGCTAATAAATTTTACATCTAAGATTTTTTTTAAAGCACTTGTATGTGCATGCACATACACAAAAGAGAAGTAACAAAGACATGTGACCTTCAAAGAATAAAGTATTTACTATCTGGCCTTTTAAAGAAAATATTTGTCAGCTCCTGTAATAGAACATTTCTATATTTAAAACCTTCCAGAAGTGTAGTTTTTGAGTCAAAGGGTGTGAACATTTTTGAGGCTGGTGGTGTTCTGCCAAACTGCCCTGCAGAGTTTTTGTGCCAATTCCTGGACTTCTTAGTAATGTGTGAGCTTGCTCATTTGCCACAGTCCAGCTCTAAGGGGCACCGCTGGCACAAATCTCTAGTTCTGAGCATTATTTTCTTCTCAGCCAATTTGATGGTGTACTATCATTTTAAGTTTTTACTTCTCTTAAAAATGTTTGACCATTTCCATTTTTCTTTCATGATTCAACTAAGTTATGTTTTTGCACATTTCTTTTGAGTGGGATTTTAAAATTTTCTTTGTAACCATCTCTTTATTTAATAATACTTTCTCTCCTAGCTTCCATACATATTGAAATTTTTTCCATGTCTTTTAGTTTTACCTATAGGTTTTTTCAGATGAAAAGTTACAAGTTCAATAGTCAATTCTGTTACTTTTCCTTTTTAATTTCAGCCTTTGTTCTTTGCTTACTTTGAGAATAAAAGCAGTTCACTCATATATTCTCCTTGCCCTTTCAAGACTTTTTAAAAAATGTAAATCCTTAAAACCTGCTCAAATTTAATGTCTGAGAAAGGCCTTAAAAGAACGAATAGGTAGGGACCAGCAGTTAGCATAATGGCTATGTCACTGGACTCCCACGTAGTCGACCACGGTTCGCGTCCCGGACCCGGTGGCTTAAAACTCATGCTGGGCGCATGTGCATGTGTGCCCAAGATCCCAAGAGGAGAATGGAGGAGAAGGGATTGCGGCGTGGCCATCTCACCTGGGGGGGGGGATTTCTCGCTTTCTTTCTCTCTGTCTCTTTCTGTCTGTCTGGCGAGCACACGTGCCCTCTAGCAAAAACCTCTCAAAAAAAAAAAAAAAAAGAATGAATAGGTAATATTATGTGAATCCTGGATTCAGATTACTAAATTCAAATGTAGCCTCACCCCATGGTACATATTTGAGTAAAGTACTTAATCTCTCTAAATTTCACTTTTCTTGTTTATAAAACGGAGACAACAGTAATACCTACTGTAGGGTAAATGTAAGAACTAATAGCTTTAAACATGTAAAGCACTTAGCACAGGCCATTAACTGTTTTTACAGCATCAAGAGACTGTTCCAGGCAAAAGCAATAATATGCAGAAAGATGCAAAGGTATGAACATAGTTTGTGCATTTTGGAAACTTGATGAGGTTCTGGAAAATAGGGTTCATATGGGAGGGGTAGGGTTGATTTATGGGTGGGAGAGATGGGCCTTGAATGATATGCCAAGTCTTGTTCTTAATATTACCAGAGACTGGGAGTCAATAAAAGCTCCCCCCCCCTTAAGTTTCTTTCCTAGGAGAAATAAGGAGATACAGAGAAAGGTGCACCCTCAACAGAGTCTCACAGCTCAGTCCTCCCCCTGGCTTTCCCAGCCCTGCAGCCAGCCAGCTACAAGCATGAACATGTATATGCTCAGGGTACAAATCAATTCAGGAATTGAACCGGATTTTCCAGATGGCCTCCAGCATTGCAGAGTAGCTCATCACTACTGGGCCACTGTGCCTGGTCCTAAAGGCTTTTAGGCTTTTACAATAGAAGCGAGAATCCCACTGAGATGTGTGGTGTCAAAAAAGTAGTACTTGGGTACCAGCAGTTAGCGTAACGGCTATGTCGCTGGACTCCCATGTAGTTAACTGTGGTTCGCGTCCCGGACCTGGTGGCTTAGACTCACGCTGGGCGCGTGTGCGTGCATGCCCAAGATCCCGAGAGGAGAATGGAGGAGAAGGGATTGTGGCGTGACCATCCCCCCGGGGGGTGATTTCTCGCTTTCTGTCTCTCTGTCTCTCGCTGTCTTTCCAGTGAGCGCGCACGCCGTATAGAAAAAAAAAAAAAACTCTCAAAAAATTAAAAATAAAAGTAGTGCTTCTACAAAGTAGAAAAGGGACTATATTCCTATCTCATGTTCTACCTATTCCTCCCCAAATTCCTGTTCCTTGGAGGCAAATTCTTTCACCTTCTAATAATTTCTTCTGGTATTTATCTCTTTACTTCTAAATATTGTGCTCAAGCGATTTCTTAATTTTGCATCATAGATACAATTATGAGACTAAATAATAAACAGTAGTAGCAGGATGGGCCTCTGGAACCCTTATGAGGATGGCCCTGAAAGATGAATCTGAATGAGAAGGTAGAATAAACCCGCCCCTGGGAGTAAGTGAAAACAGGAAGCAGGTTGGGATTAGGGAGAAGTTGTCTTGCTTGAGTTAGAGACCACAGAAGCAGGCTGGGTGCAGAAAGATGAGTTCAGTTTGAGGGATGCAGGTTTAAGCACCATTTCCCAGAGTACAAAGACTCGAGTACTGCTCCAGGCGCCTGTATTTGGTGATTGTTCACTGCTCGGAAGACCCAGTATTAACCACTGAGTGAGTCAGTCTGGGGTGCTTTGAGAAAATGTAGATGAGAACACTGACCAGCCAGAACCTTCAAGCAAAGGTTCCCGATTTCAGGCAGGGGAATGAGTTAGGGGTATGCAGATAACGGTTTTCTCAGCCCCCCACATGTAAGGGCCCAGTCACCTCTGTGGGAACAGCCTCTCCATGTTGGTCTTGCAATACACACATATATGTTCTAACAGATGTTTTTGCGTTAGGTCATGTGCCCTGGCCAGGTGAGAAAGAGAGTCAGAGATAGTGAGAGGGAAAGTGAGAAATCAACACCCAGGGGAGATGGCCACGCCTGCAATTCTTTCTCTTCCATTTTCTCCTCCATTCTCCTCCCGGGATCTTGTGGACCCCCGTGAGTGCACAGGCGCAGGGCGTGAGTTTCAAGCCATGGGGTCCAGGACTCCAGCTGGCATCGCCCCTGTGGGAATCTAGCGACATGAACACTACATCTGCTGGCCCTGGGTCTTGCAACATTATCCTTTCCTAACTGTACCTTGAAAAGGGTGTGGGAAGCACAGCGTTAGCAGGCCCAATGCTTTCACAGAGGAAGATACCAGCCTGCTGCATGGCCCCCCTACTCAAAGCTTTATGTTGCCCTCTAAAAAATCTTGCTCCCACCTACCATTCCAACTATCCTTAGGTACAGCATCCTACACTGGAGAGGTGAGGTCCCTACTGGGGACGCACTTCCTGTCCAGGTGGCCTGACCCACACCCTATGAGGCCAAACCCCCAGGAGACATTTTGGTTGGATGCGCATTCTGCACACTTGACGTTTCTGTTCGAAAGATAGGGCCTGAACACCCCTGGCAGGAAGTCCATCTTCACAGCTGCAAACCCACCTGCGCCCACACTCCCCCAAACAAAAACAGTACGATTGAATGGAGGAGACAAATAAACAGTGTATTTGTGGGCGGTTACAAGGAAACAACAAGAACCGTGGAAGAGGTGACCCCGGAGCCCTTTCCTTCCTGGCCCTCCCTCTCCTCTGAATCATCACGCTCCACTTGTGACGTCGAGGACGCCTGGCCCGGGCAGGCGTGGGATGCCTTCGCCCGCCCTGGGAGCTTTGAGGTGTCGCTGCTCCTTTCCAAGCCGCAGTCCCGGGGAAACGAGGGGGTGGCGGCCTGGCAGATGCTGAGCCGGGCGAATTCAGGGCCGAGAGAGGGAGCGCGTCGCCCAGGCTTCCCCTTCTCCTGCCGCGACCTTTGCAGTCACCGGTTGAGCCTGCGCCCAGACGTCTGGCGCCCCTCTCTAACCCTCCCGCGCCGCAGCCACCTCCTCCTCCAGAGAGTTTTCCTCCTCCTCTCTCGGTCCTCCTCCTCCTCTTCCGTTTCTCGAAGGAAAGGCTGCAGCCTCCTGGGCTCCCATCCCCGGCTTAGGTAATACGTTTTTCTCTTCGCGCCCCCACCCCCACTCGCCGTCCCCGCGACACTACCTCCCTGCTGCTCGGATCTGGATCCCCTGGCTGCGACGGCGGCGCGCGCCCTCTCGCCTCTCCGAGAGTAGGTGAGTAAATCTGGTCGGGAAGGCTCTCCGCCTCTGCGCTCTGGCCTGTGAGGTTCCCCTGTCGGTGCAGCAAGGTTGCCCCAGCCCTGCCTGTTCGCCGCTGCAACCAGCCAGGCGGAGGAGCTCCGGGTCCCGCAGCTCCTCCGCTCCATAAAGGCAACCTGAAAGCAAAAAGGGGTGGAAGGAAGGAGGAGCAAGCAACTTTTCATTAAATCGTTAGCATGTTTAGGTAGAAACTGATCTGACAGTTGTCGAAAGCAGTGGCCCAAGTTCAACAGGTAGATGGTGTAGCCGTCAAGGGCCTTTGAGAGATGCTTCTAAGTGTCCGTATCTGTGGGCTGCCCCCAGTGACCTACTTGAGGAGTGTAAAATAAACATGTTGGGACTATCTTCAGAAAAATCTTTACCTCCTTGCTTTTAATTCTCTCCGCATTTTGCAAGATGTTTTTGTGACACGTGCGTAGTTAGTTGGTGTGGCCAGAGTAGTCCAGTCGGGAGAAAACCAACTATTTAACCTGGGTTTGGCTGAATCATGTAGTTGGTTAGACACAAACAGTGTGGGAGCAAAAGGCCCTAGATTATCCAGTACATCCATGAAAAACACGTGTAAACAACCTCGCTGTCTATTCTGGAGATTTCCAGTTTCAAAGCTAATTTTAAAGTGTTGAATAAACAGTTTGCCCTCTGTCCTCAAAAAGCGCATGGGCGTGCTACCTAAGTGCATCCCGGATGTTGAATGAAAAAACTCTGGGTCCTCCTACTGTGATTCCTAGCCTTGAAATCAAAGAAAGTGATAAGGATCAGCCCTGCTCAGACTGGTAATAGTCTAAAGATGAAAATAATCCAGTGAGCTACTATTGACTGATGAGTTAGTTAAGTGATCTATTACTTTCAGTAGAGAGAATATAAGGGAAAAAATTAAGATAATGAAAAAGTTCACTTTTTTAAATATATATATTTGCATTCTTATTTAGAACCTACCTTATTTATGTTTGTGGATTTTTTTTTTTGAGAGGTTTTCGCTATAGGGCACGTGCGCTTGCCAGACAGAGAGAGATAGAGAGACAGAAAGTGAGAAATCACCCCCCAGGGGGGATGATCACGCCACAATCCCTTCTCCTCCATTCTCCTCTCAGGGTCTTGGGCACGCACGCACACGCGCCCGGTGTGAGTTTTAAGCCACTGGGTCCAGGACGCGAACCGTGGTTGACTACGTGGGAGTCCAGCGACATAGCCATTACGCTAACTGCTGGCTCCCTGTTTGTGGATTTTTAAATGCTGCTTTTGAAGTTCTTTATTGTTCAAAGAATTATTTAATTTTATTAATTACTATTATTAATATACTGTAGGGCACATATACTCACCAAAGAGAGAGCGAGATAGAAAGTGAGAAAGCAACCTGTCAGTTCTGGACTCAAACAGCGGCTGGCCATGAGGGAGTCCAACGCCTTAACTACAATGCCACCTACTGGCCCCCAAGTTCTTTTCTTCAAACTTACGCTTTTTATTTTAAAGTTTATTTATATATTTCTTCCATAAGGTGTACACACACACATACACGCGAAGGGAGAGAGGGTGAA